GCCAACGCATGCAAAGTTTAACGCGATTATATACGCATTTGACCGCAGCGCCCTCTCCTGTATAGACCTTTTCATCCTCCTCCGCATGGGCGCTGCCATCTTGGAATCACGTGACGCGGCAGCCATTAGGTTGCTTCAACTTGCTGCTCCGCTCTCCCCTCCGAGCATTGACGGATGCGTTGCATTCTTGTTTTTCGCCGTGTTTCACCGCGCTTGCTCGCCTTACTTCGGAAACTGTAGTCCGATACGTCTACTCGACGACTTCTGAGGTTTGTTTACTAATAGTGGCGGAACATTCTCAGTAAGAAGCGCGTATATTTATATCGCGCATCTAGGATCGGAAGGCGTCAAGAATAGTCAGCGCAAGGAGACTATCTGTATTTCCTGAAAGTATCGTTCTTTGTATTCATAATATATCGAAAACAGTTTCTTTTGATTATGTGAGGAAACTCGAGGAGGAGATAGACAACGAACGTTTAGCTTGCATCTTATCTGAGGCTAGAAGTAATGGTACGTCAACATCAGGCGATTTGTTTGTTCATATGTAACATCACACCTACATGTGTATGAGGTTCACAATCTTTTTTGCTACGTAAACATTCGATTGGTCGGCTACTTATGAAGTTTAAGAAATTGTATACCATACTCGCTCCCATTTCGACAGTCATTTAAGTGATTTATTGATTATATTCGGATAACCAGTGCCATCCACTTTGTTTATTTTAACGCAAAGGTTGGGACTTTCCGCGTAAGAAACCGTCACACACAACTTAACAGTAGCGAGTTTTAGAATAGCGTGCACAAAGAAATAACGTCGTTTATATTTGCAAATCTTAAACGCTGTTTGGGTTCGGCGCATGCGCTATAATGACGACGTTTTTTTTATGTATGCTGTTTTAACTTTTGCCAGTATCTTAAGTCCGCAATATGTAACGCTGAAAAAAAATAGTTGTCTGCATAACAATTACTCGAGTCCAGGAGTGTCGATGGCGAATAAAGATTTACTTTTGGTGGCTGGCGACACCGAAATTTACGAAGCGAATATGTACAAACAAATAAATGTTTGTTCCCGCAGGTCCGTGAAGTGGTGCCTAGCGCTAGAATTTAGGTAAACCTTGCGAGGTATTTCTTCTCTTGCGCCCTTTAATTTTATAAGGCAAATTTTACGGAAGACAAATGCTAGGTTCAATTTGACGGGCCTGTTACTTATATCATATCTTGAGTAAGCAAATGTTCATATAAAAATAATTTATTTTCTAGGGCCAATATCGCGAAATGCTGCCTGTGAATACTTTAGCAGGGTTGATAATTTAAGAACGTTCCTACTCGGCCTGTCAAAACATGCTCGAGTACTGAATAATAATAATAAAAAAACAGGTATAGACGATACCTCTTGTTTATATCAATTATCTGCCTCATTACACAATACATTTTTAGTCTGCGAATTTCCTTAAAGGTTGTGTGCCCACGAAAACCAAACAGTGTGTAGTAAACTCGCGAGTTCATCTGTTCTGGCCGATTCAGCACATTGCTAATCAAGCTGTCGATATGCTTCTTTACATTCATGTGTTAGTCTCTTCATTAGTCTGTTTTTCTGGAAATTGGTGTCATCGGGTACGCCCGTAGATGATGCTAATCTCTCCTGTACATCAGTCAGGCGTTTCGCAATTGACCATAATCAGATACATCAAAGTAGTTGGTAAAAAATAAAGCCCGAAATTTAGGCTAAAATACACCTCGTAGTCCTCAAAGTGGTTCAATACCTCTGTTTCATTGGTTGTGTGCTACAAGGAAAATATTCGTATCACAAAATTAATCAAAAACAACGTAAAACAGCAACATAGCCGCGTTCACGTTGAAACCGAAACCAATCAAATTGAAGCAACCTAATGGCGCCGAGTGCGTCAGTGCCCCCTATACGCCGGTGAGGCAACTACTAAAATGAAAAGGTCTATAGACGTTGAGCGGCTACATGCAACGTTTCATCCATGACATACAGATGGGATAGCAATCGATATGAGCACGGACGCCGGACGGATGGACAAGGCTAGACCCTAAACCTGAGCGGCGGCCGAGTGCGTACTCTCGTGAAACGGCCGCCAATGGCTATCTAGGAGCCGTTTTGCTCAGGCAATGGGAAAATGAAAATTTTTTTCGCGTTTTTTTTTTTTTTGCGGCTACAGACGCCACCGGCTCTGCTCTATTAAATAGTTATTGCTTTCGCATTAAAAAAAAAAAAAAGCCTTTAAATTAATTTTAATGGAAGGCAAGCTATATGGGTGACCCTCAAGCTCTCTAATCTCGGCTCAAATTGGAGAAACTTCGCGGGCCCATGCGCTAAACACATCCTTGACAAAGGCGTCCGCCTGAAGGTTACAGGGCACTGGCCAATAATGAATGCCACAAGTCAGCGGTGCAACAAACCGGGTTGTAAAGGCACAGACCGTCATATTGTGCAGCAAATTCAATTTCGCTTTTGCTTGAACAAGCACGTTTTCGCGAATTTACCTAACCATAAAGAATCAGAGCTTCGCTTGCCTGTTTTTTGCGGCTATAACCACGTTATCGTTTTAAAACTCGGGTATTGTTTTTTGTATGTTTACTTTTTCGTGAAAATCAGATTCATAGAAGGTGGCATAGAGAAATTAGTTACGCTGTGACCTGTTGTCACAAATTCGCAATATACCCCGTTCTATGAAATGGCGTTTTCGTCACAATCGCCAATGTGGATATATTTCCAAGGAAACCTTGACGGTCAGTCTATAGAAGCACCTTCTGCCGTGCAGAAAACTTGTCCCCAGTTTTCTTCTCCCCGTTCCCTCTCACCAGTGTTGGGTAAAGTACATCTACAAGATATTTCAACTAAAGTACAAAGTAAATGAGACGTAATGTACTTCAAGTAAAGTAGTAAGTACACTGGGTGCAACGTACTTGAAGTAAATTACTATAAATACAATGTACTTTCAAAGTAATGTACGGGTAATCAGGGGTGCATGACCTATTTTCAACAACAGAGACAAATACGATATCAAGACAAGTGGCCACAGAGTAGCTATTTTCAGGAAGGGAGCGAAATTCAGAGGTCCCTCTTCTGAATTTGGTGCCGCTTGCGCTGGATTGTTGCACCCAAAGGGGTTGTACCAGGAGAGAGCATGACGTCAGCCCCGTAGCTTTCGCAAACAATCCTCTCATAGAGGAATGTCCTCTCCTTAATGAAAAAAAAACAAAAAAAAGTGAGTGTGCAAGCGAGCTGGTGATATTTAATCATAACGTGACACCTGAAATTGTGGTGCAAAAAATTTAAGGAACATTCAAGTCGAAGGAAAAGACAAAGCAGAATGTTTCAAAACATTTTGACATTCTCCTCCGGTGTTTTCTTTCTTCGACTTGAAAGTTTAATTTTTCCGCACCAGTCTCAGGTGTTACATTATAATTAATTTTGCTCTCCTAATATTTTAAATCTCCTTGCTTGCGCTGACCGACCAAGAAGGGGCGAGTTAAAAACGCTACGGCAAAGCCGCCCCAGAACAAACTGAGCAATGTGTCATCTGCTCACGTTTCTGGTGACTAGAATATCCCTTCCAGTATTTCTTTGGAGTTCACAAAGCATCATTTCGTGATACAATTTGAACAAAACCAAATTTGGGAAACATACTTTAAATTCGAGAATTGTACTTTCCTCTGAAAGTACCACAAAAAAAAAAAAGAATACTTTAAGTAAAGTACATACATACTCAGAGAATGTACTTCAAGTAAAGTGCAAGTTTCCTAAACCTACTTGAAGTAGTACTTTAAGTACAATGCACTTAGAACTGGGAAGTACTTTAAGTACAATGTACTTAAAGTACTTCCCAACACTGCCTCTCACACTCTTCCTTCTTCTTTTTTCAAATGGAAAGGAGAAATTAGGGAGATTTTCCTCCTTTCAGGTTTTCTGTCCTTAACCCTTTCCCTACATGGATAACCCGGGTTTGTCCACACTGTTTGTACTGCACCCCCTGAAGACGAGCTGGGCTCGTCCACATTGACTTGGGCGTCAATTTGCTACCATGGATGAACTGGGCTCGTCCACATGTTTCCAGTTTGCTTTGCCCTGTATAAAAGGTGCTTCACGAAAAATCAAAACGTGGTAGATCTCTGAACTTGGCAGAAAAGTGTTCCTTCTGGTCACTGCATTCATAGTGATGATCTTGCCTCAAAATTGGGGCAAAAAAAGATGCGACGTCACTTCAGATTTAGAAGACGAGAAAATGAATCTTTCATGAGGCAGCGAGAGCGATGCAACTGAGTTATTGGATTCTAACTCAGAAGACTCCGATATCGATGAGGACATTGGAATAGAATCAACGTAATATATTCCCCTCCGGCCCCCCCCCAGTTTGCGTTCACTTTGCTTGCAAGGTGATGTGAACTGTCTGCGGCACTGCTACGCCCGGCCTGAACGTCCATGTGCAAGGTAATGTGAACTCTCTGCGGTAATGCAGTGAAGCCAAACTTTAGGACCCCTTTTTTTGCATTATGTTCAAAGTTTTCTCCTATAATCAATTTTTTGGCATTTGGTTTTGGCCTTTGTATTGTATATTAAATTTATAGGGCAAATAAAAAAAAATTGGTATTTTTCAGTAGTTTTTTTTTTTAATTTTTGTGGTAGGCAGACACTTCACAAAAAAATAATTGACAAAATTCACAAATAACTTAGGTGTTAAAGGGCTAAAGACAGAGTTGCCGGAACATCTGTACCATTAGTATGAAGCTTGCCAACAACTTCAAGTAACTTGACACATGGCATACAAAGCACAGGTGTGCCAGACTCGCTGCCGTGTCACAACGTAGCAGTCAACCATATTCAAATGCAACTGCTTAAATAAGCCTTCAGGAATTACACATACATGCAGCTGTGAAGCATTAAATGTGTAGAGCTGCAGTCAGCTTTTACAGCAGCTTCCAAGCCCATGACAAGCAAGTTCGAAAACAGCATCTAGCAACAACAGGACCATATAAAAAATAGACATCAATCTGTATTTCAACAATGCATCGGCAACCGGGAGCACTGCGCCCACCTTTTCTGATTTGCGCGGCGGCCCGTAAGACCACTACAGGATTCTTTGCGGACGTCTGCTTCTCGCTTCCAAGAAGACGTCTGTAGGTTCTGCCCAGATTTCTTTTTGAAGAGAAACTGGCATCGAGCCCCTCTGCACTTCCGAGCGGAACCGGATATTTTGTAAGGCCGACTTTGCAAACTACGGTTTGTGCCGTCACCCGACATTCCAATTGCATACGTCCCAACAACCTAAGGTGAGTCTACTGCGAGTCGCACGGGGATGGAGCTACTCCGCGTGCATGGTGAGGTCAACTCGGGAGAGTGCTGACTCGGTCCATTTGAATCACCGGCGTGCCTACATGTGCCCCGTGGAGGACCTCTGAAGCAGTTGCGCAAAGCGGTTGGTGATGGACAGGGAGGTGTCAATGAAGCGCTCTACGCAGTTCGACAGGCATGTCTCCGTCCGGCCGTCCAACTTGGTGCTCGGTTTGTCCACACACTTGTCCCAGCAGATCTCGTTTAGCCGGTGCACCTGAAAGAGCAGAAAGTGTCCTCAGTTACCTACACTTTCTGCGGAAAATAGACAGAAAAGAAAAAGTTGCAATTCAACGGTGTTTTTCTTGCACGAGTCGAATGAGACGTTGGCCAGTTTCAGACGGGGCCATTTTCCCAGCAATTTCGGGGTTGCCGGCAAGTGGTTCCGTACGATTCCCTAGATCCTCGCACTGCGATACAACTGCTCGGATCGAGTCTGACTCAAAATAGGCGAGCAACTCGAACAACTCCGAGAAGTTCGAAGCGGCGGCAGCCAATCAGGGACGCAACATTTTCGCGTGCCGATGACAATTAAAGACGGGGTTTAACTTGGTTCTGGTTTGAAACGGATTGTTTCTGAGAATAGATCGCTTCAGAAAGATGACGTCATTTCAAGATCTAAAACCGCGTTTGTAGCGTGTAACTGTGTGCCTAATGAGGGAAAGAAAATAAAATTGAATGATAACAAATCGTAGCAATTCGGTTGCTGGTGTTGCGACATCAAGTTACCGGGAAAACCTGCACCGTTTGAAGCAGGCCTCAGTCACTTTACGCTACATACCAATCTTCGCATACAAGTGACGAGTCTGTGTTCAGTCAATTCAGCGGCAGCTTCAAATTGATCACGGAGAAACTCTCGAAGTGCAAAAGAGGTTCCATTGCCTCAGCAGATCAATAATAATAATAATAATGATACAATTAATCCCTATTTCGACCCAGGAGGTTTGAGGTGTACCAGAAAGGCCGTAGGCCAGTGCTTTTGATTGCCTCAGGCTCTCGGTCGTATGGTTGTTTTAGCCAATAAACACCTTTGAACCTTTAGTTGTCTTTTTACACTGCAACCAACTGGCCGAGCGAAGGAATCCCTGAAGCACATGTATAAGGGTCACCGTATAGTGTTTCAGCTATAGTTAACGCGGTCTTGGTCATATCAATCACGTAGTTTCCACAAGACGGCACCGAGCCGAGGTCAAAGGTGATCACACGTGTTCGAACCTGGGCTTGAAACTGGGCTTTCTGCTGCTCCACAGCGAGGAATGCCTGCATTTCCCGGTCGACTCCCGCGCCGGCGTCGTCACTGTCAAAAGGCATTTCTAATTATACGTTTTGGTGAAACGTTATAACGACATAAAAATTCTCATGCAACACTCGGGCACAAAGCGGGTAGATCAAACGCCGGTCGGGTCGACAAGAAGCCCTTGCGGCGGCTGCAGGAACCTTCAATCAAAGAACGTTTCACCCAGTTTTGATGTTTAATTTTGCGTACGTAATAATAAAATTACATTTCATTTATTTACAAATATTCGCGATGTATAAAAAATTGGTCGCTTAAATCCATTCGATCGGTTTTTAACTCTCGAGTAACCTCGGTGACCTTTATCCACAAGCTTTGTCCTGGATTTGTTGCATATATTTCAGACAAACAGCGACCCTCTTGATTGCAATGGAAACCATCTTCCTGCAATCGAACGCATTCAAGTCAATAATGTTTTTGTCATATAATATTATAAATCTTATTTCAGAATTCAACGAATATTTTTGTATTACATGTGTAAAAATTATATAATTATTCACTTTATTTTAAACTTCAAAAACTTTGGGAAGTTATTTGCTGCGGGCCAGCGGTGCGGGGATTTTAAAGGCCGACCCTCGTTGTGTATCTTCTACGGGTCGCCCACAAAGGGCGCTTGCTTTTTCGGCGGGCCGCCTGCGCAGCAGTCGCTGCCTCCATCCGAGATGGCCACAGGAGACATCAGAAACAACCTGAAAATACTGAGCGCCGAAATACGCAGTGTCAAGACTCCGGCGGCGATCGTGAACCTCGATGGGTGAGTGAGAGTGGCGTTCGCCGTTCGGTTTCAAGTTACAAACAGAGCATCCGACGGAACCCGCCAGGAAATACCTTCAGGCTTGAGCGATCACGGGCAATTCTCATTACCCTATACAATATTTCGTGGTCTTTTTTGTTTTATCCTTTTGTTGCGTGATTACGTGTGGCGTCGCATTTTGCGACTAGCTATGATTAGATTAGAAACCCGAGCTTTGCGCAGGGGGTTGAGCTACAATGCGGGTGAACTGCGCGTGCAACTGCAGTTCGCTTTAACTTCCCCCCCCCCCCTTTTTTTTTCTTTTTTTGCGCGTGTGTATGTGTGTGTAAGTGCGTGCGTGCGTGCAATGGATTGCTATTTCTACGGTTGATCATATTTTACGTGAGCGCGAGCGATTACATAGACGTTCCGTTTTCACTCCGTGATTATGTTCTACAAATACATTTGCACAATATATGCCAGCGGGGTGTTACAAAGTTATTCGTTTAGCTGTGCTGTGTAGTAGTCGATACTACTGGTTTGCTTGTAGACTCGAGATCCACTTCATAAATTTGATGGGAAATAAAAGTTATTGTATGTATCGAACCCCACATGAGCCTGCACTTAGGAGCTGAAACTCCAGACAGAATAGCATTATAGCTTACATTCGGTTTGGCTTATTTCTTCGAGTTGTGCCTACCCCATGTGATAAGCTTTATCAGTATTGCAGCTCAGTTCAGGAGGGTGTCACGACAATAATGTGTCTGGCATCTGTTTTGTCTGACGTACAATGATAAGCGGTGATGTTTGCTGCTCCTGCCATAAGATTAGGGGTCTGTAGCTTGGCGTAGCATTGCCGTTGAGCAAAGCACAACTAAACAGGCAGGGACACATTATCCTCTGGCTCTCTTTCACCTTGTAGGTGTAAGCTGTTTACGAAATTACCAAGCAACTCTCATTGGCACGACTCCAGTTAACTATCCCAAAGGAAAACATACAGATGCTTTTTTGGGGGGCTTTGCAAAACATGTGTTGTTTGTTGTAAAAGCTCGTATTTTTCTTGAGAGACATTGAAGGACCTTGGAAGGCACTGATGAATTATGTTGATTGATTTGTTGCCGTGACTCACTCGGCATAATGCAATAATTCTTATCTAATGTTGCAAGAATGGCAGTAATGGCAGTTGGTTTTTACATGGTGTTTTTTTCTTTATGATTAATACTTTCAAGGCTTTGGTGTAAAGCATTATATAGTGTATCTCAAAACATTTTGCACAAACTTGAGAAGAAAACCGATTGATTACAACATTTTACATAAATTAGCAGTGTACACTTGCATTACATTTACATATACATATTGGGCATTGACGACACATCAGCTGTCCTTGCGATGGTCTTGGTGCGAACTGCCTACCTTATGCAGCAAACTTTTTTACCAGAAATTTTATTTTTCTTGGAAAGTGCACTAGGATAGCTCACCAGCATCGTGCAGTGATGTCCGGTTTAAGGGGTTTTATTTTGTATAATTATTTTAGGTTATTGAAGAAATTTATAGCCTTGGACCCATCTATTAAAGTAATGAGGTGAAGAACTTTTTGCTTTTGATATATAATGTCGTGCTACTCTTGCTGATAAAAATAAACTGCAAGGTAACTTGTATCCCTTGAAAGATTGTGCAAGCCTAGCTTTGAAGCACTGTTTCAAGACCATAGTGTTAAAGGTCTCCTAGCAAGATGAACATGTCATCTTGCTCTGCAAAACAACGTAGGAGAAAGAACAGAAGAGTCACATGGCAACTGCCCAGCTCGGTGTAGCAGATGTGGAATACCATAATTTCAAAGTGTCTTTAAATAAAAAAAAAAAAAAATCAAAATTTTGCTGCGCAACTTTTGAAATAAAAAAAAATGCTGAATTTTGTTGCGCTATCATAGCCTCTTCTATACAGAGAAAGCCTGGCACATCGACGGCGGAGCCATAGGGCGCACGGCCGCCGAAAAAAGGAGAGGAGGAGCGCACGAAGCGGTGATCAATATGGTAGCGCAGAGCAGAAAGGGCAGAGATAGTGTGCGAGCGCTTGGGTCATGAGCGGCCGCTCCTCGAACCACGTTTGTTTTTATGTTTTCGTCACCATCGTTTTCGTACTCCGGGAGAAACGGCTGCGGCGATCCGAAAGGGCACTGGCAACAATGCACCATGCCGGTTGCATCGGCTGAGTTGTCGGCGTGCCAGCGGAGTGCGTCGTCGTCGGACCATCGTATCGTTCCGCAGAAGAACCATACAGTTTTGACTAAACGAAACCGACGGCCGCGACCGTCGGTTTCGCGTTCAAGGTCCGTTTCGGAGATGCGGGCGCAGGGAGAAAGGGAAAGGGTTGACGTTAAGTTTCTCCTCTCCACGATACCGAAAAGAAAAGAGGAAAAAGAAAAAAAGAGTGTTTCTGCGTTTGGCCGCTCGCTCTTGTGTGGCGCTAGCAGGCAATCTTCCCTTCCCCCGCCCCTCCTTTCCCATTTACGGCGGCCGTCTCTTCTCGCGACGTGCCAGGCTTTCTACGTATAGAGGAGGCTATGGCGCTATCTATGGAGAGGTCACATAAACACACAGAACTTGTAAGTTAAATTTTAGGCCCCAGACAGGGCGCACGTTTCCTCGTCTGCTCCGCTGCTTCTTTGGCTCAGTCTTGTCAGTGTGGACCGTGCATCCACTTTTTGACGGACAAAGAAATTTATAGACTTTTGATCAATTCTGACTCTGATGGACGTGTTGACAATCAAGCAGCACGTCTAAGCGGCATGTTCATGAGGGATGTCGTGGACCCAATTGTTGAGCAGACAAACCTTTTCCCGCTCTAAGTGCTCGCCGTGTTGTCGGCCGACCAATCCCGTGTACGCCGGTGGAAAGACGTGACTGCACGTGAATTCTACATATTTCTGGCTGCTCTAATGCTGATGGCGCATGCAGAGAAAGGCACCATTGCTGAGTTACTGGAAAGAAATGTGGACTGAACCAACTTGCGAAAGAAACCCTGCACGGGGTGAGGAGCAGTAAGAAAGAAACCCGGCAGTGAGTGGGTGAAACGTCAGCATACACGCAGGTGGACTTTCTCATAGGCAGAGCTGGCAGTCACATAGAGTGAGTCGTTGCCGAGAGCAGCAAAAGTATGGCGTTTAGAATGCGTCTCCCAACAGTGTGTTTATCTTTCTTTACCGCCTGTGTGTCGGAGCGTTCCCGGAGTGATATACATGGCAGAAGCCGGCATGTAATGCTGTATGTTGATCCGCAGAGCCCAGAATTTAAACTAACATGATCTGCCCTTCCCTTATGGCAGCTTTGTTTGCGATGCTCCTTGAAGTGGTTTTTGAGAATTTTGACTGCTCGCAGATCATGATTTGTGGAAAGTGAACAAGTCCCGCGTAAATTTTCTGATTGCGTTTTACCCCTCGAGAGTCTTGCAAAGGCCGCTTTTGTCCCGCAGGATGATGAGTGGGGAGGCGGACGTGTACCTGCCGATCTACGACTACCTGTTCCAGTGGTACAACACAAAGCTGGCCAATGAGATCCTGCGCAGGGACCTGAAGCTGCCCCCGTACAAGCACAACAAGACCCGCTTCCTGGAGACCATGTACCTAGTCCTGCGGGAGCTCTTCCAGTGGAAGCCGCCCCTCAGCACCGCACAGTTCTTCTCCACGGGCTTTGCAGAGAAGAAGGTGCCGTGTGTTTGTTTGTTAAAGGCCGGCGGGTGGTCAGAAGGGAGCAAGCTCTCCCTCAATTCCTCCTTTCCATTTGAGACGGAGGGAGACGCTCCTCCCTTCTACGGGTGGTAGCCCGGAGACCCGCTTCGGCGAGGAGAGGAGGAGAGAATAATGTTGGAGGGAATGGAATCACACTCGAATGGTTCTGCGAGAACAAAAAGTATGAATTACAGGAGACTGTCGCTCTAATTAAGCGGCTCATAAATACATTGAAAACATAGTGGGACATTCAAAATTTAAAAATTTGTTTGTATTAACCAGAAGTATATAATATCCGAGTTTGAATTAGCGCGAGCCTACTGAACCTCCTGCCTTCTTTTCTAAATTACGTTAATAACCAGCGGGTTGCATTAGTGGCAGGGGACACAGACTAAAGTTGCAATAGACTAGTGTTTGTAGCCGCCGGAGCTCGGAACACCTCCTGGTGTTGGTGGCATGAGCTCTGATGTAGCACCTGTACTGTGATTGACACTGTGACTCCGACACCTTTCTGAGTCAATTCAGGCTCACCCTGCTAGCCTCGAAGTTTGCTGAGTTTCTCTAAACCCTACAAACAAGAAATGGACGACAGCAAAAAAGGCACTTCCCGTGACTAATCGTTGCAGCTGAAAATGAAGGACCTCGAAGACAGTTGACACACATAGGCACTTACTGATGTGCTTTACCATCATGTAGACTGTATTCACGTTTGCCATCTAGTTGCAGACCAAAAAAAGTTCTATCTAGCTTTATTTGTTTTTATGTGTCTCATTCACTAACGAGTGGTTCACCTGGCTTATCGGGTGTTCACATCTAAGGGACCTTCTGCCTCCATTACAGATCATCATGTGCAGCAACATCATCAAGCTCATCAAAGACTACAGCGGTGGTATGCAGAGGGCAGCCGCAAGCCACGCAGGAAGCTCGAACAGCAACAGCCTGAGGTTGAAGCCATCGACACGACCACCCGTAAGCGGTCTTGCATGTGCTATTTCTCTTACAAGAGCATGTCAAATGGAACTCAAAAAGAGGTCCGATGGGGGATCAGTGGCCGAGTGGGCCAAAGCGCACACCCAGCTCGACGCTGCAGAACTCGGAGATCCTGGGTTCGAGCCCCACCCCTGCCCGTTTCGATCTGGATGAGCATCGTACCGGCAAGCGCTCGTGTATCACTACTGCGTGAGCACGTTAATGACCCCAGGTTAGCAGTCGTACTGCACTGGCGAAATTGCTCATCTACAGTGTAAACCAGTGTCGCCTCATCCTGGCAGACCGACCTTACGCTGTATAAATCACTAAATGTCCAATTTGACTTCTTTGGAAGGTCCGATGGAATTCATTTTTCAGAATGTGCGAGCTGCATGTGGGTTCACATTGAGCGTGCTTCTCTGCAGAACAGCTGTGTGCTTCTGGGGAGCATTATATAGTGTAGCACTTTGTTCTTCAAATTAAGTCTGACTCTTAGGGCACTGCACTTGGCAAAGAAATCTTGTCTTTCGAGGGATTGAGTTCTGCTTAGTGCTGCAGAAAGCACCCTTTCCATAACCTGTGCTTGCTTGCATGTGACGAATTTGAGTCATTGCTGCCAGTCGTTTCAAAGTCTGCTCATTCTCTAGCATAATAGATCCTATTCCTATTTGTAGTGCCATCAATCAGAAATATCGGAAACATGATTCAACCTGCCTCGAAGATGGCGGCGTGCCATCCTTGCTTTGAAATGCAGTAGAAGGCCACTGGGAATGTGATGCATCTAGATTGCAGCGACGCATCAACTTATTCAAATCCTTCTTCGTCAATCTGAGCACCTCTGATGCAGCACTTGCATTCGGTTTCAAAAATTCATCAATCCGCACAAATCTCTTAAAAGAATTCCCTCCACTGGGCTTTTTTTTCTTGATATGAAATGTTTCCCCATTTCACCACGCTTATGTCAGTTCTGACCCCTGCGCCCCTGCCGAACACCAGCGCCTTGTGTGGTGAAATTGTGAAGCTGCTCTCATATTTTCGTTTAAAAATAGCTTTTGCTAGATTGGAAGTAAGAGATTCAACGAATATGATACTGTGATCAATAACAGACCTTGTCAAACGTCAGCGTGCGAGAAACTTTTTTTTTTTAAACCAACAGTTATTACAATTTTGAAACTCCTTGTCTAGGATCAAAATGCAAGCGAACAGGCTGCCATCTTTGAGGCTTGCAGCCCCTGAATTTCGAGGTTTCCAGATAAATTAGAACCTGCAATATTTTTTCTGGCACATGCTTCCTAGATTTTATTATATTTCTCCAAAAGTGCACAACCCCAATTATAAGGATTCTGACATCCGTTAGGCAAAAACAAAATTGTTGTGTGTATGTTTATACAGCCGGAAGTTAGCCTGCCTCAGTGGGCGTCTGGTTTCTCAGCTGTAGATGAGCAATTTAGCCAGTGCAGTACAAATACTAGCCTGGAGTCTTTAACGTGCACGACGCTGTAGTGATACACGACCACACGCCGGTACGATGCTCATCCAACTTTAAACGGGCACGGGTGGGGATTGAACCCAGGATCCTTGGGTTCTGCAGCGCGAGCTTTCGCTCCACTTGCTCCGAGCTGGTGTGCGCTAGTCCACTCGGCCATCGATCCCCCTATTAGGTGTATCTATTAGGTGTATGCATAAGTTTGTACAATTTTTTTTGCGCATATTCATTCTCTTACGATTAAGACCCTTTTTACGTTCAAACTTCTCCCTACTGCATGTGACAAGATTCTGCCAATGTTCTGGTCTGCCAGAAAATTAATACCACAGGGGTAGGAGGAAACACTGGATTGATGACTGGAAAAACTGGCAAATAAGTCATCAACAAATTTTTTAACATTTGGAAGACAGGTTGAGACTTTTTATTTTGAGGTAAATTTCTGGCAGTTCTCATCTCCAGTCTCTATTTTTTTTTCTAATGAAGCACACTTCTGTTGAACATGTGTTTTATTTTTCTAGGCTTGTAAGATTTTGCAGATATGTTTACTGCTAGTGCTTTGAATCCTGATGAGGACACCATTCACAGTCGTTAAATATAGCATTGCTGCAACACAAGAAAATTGTTGTTTCTACGCTAACTGAGGATTGAAGCAACAACCATGGGCAAAACAACACAACAAGAAGAACATGGTCGCCCTACTGTAACCGTCACACCATGCTTTCTGCAACTGTTCTCTTCATGGCTTTATCTGTCCCAATTGACTAATAAATTCCAGTTAATAAACCTAATAAATGGTGGCAAGGACTGGTTGAGTATGTACTCCGTCCCAGGGGACATGTTCTCTTTTTAACAATCGGTGGAATCAGCAAAGAAGAGCACCTGTGAAAAAGAGGCTTAGCGGACATCAAGAATTCGCTCTAAAACCGCAATGGCAGCACTGGTACTGGTGGCACCCATCGGTAAGCTCGACAGTTTTGATGAATCAGCGGAGGATTGGACCTCCTACATCGAACAAGCCGATGAGTACTTCGTGCTGAATAGTCTACCGTATGAAAAGAAAGCCCCAGCCATCATAACAAGCATGGGAGCCACGCCACACTGAGGAAACTAACAATGCCAAGCAAACCGTCCGAGAAAACTTGGGAAGAGATCAAGAAGCATCTGAGTGACTACTTCTCGCCTGCTCCTCTTGAAATTTTGGAGCGTCATAGGTTCTATAAGAGAATCGAGAAGGAGGAAGAAACTGCTAATGAGTGTATGGCTGAACTCTGGCATCTCTCTCAAAACTGCAACTTTCGATCCTTCCTGAATCATGCCTTGCGAGACAAGTTTGTTTGCAACCCTCAAAAGTTGACGACCCTCAAAAGGCCAGGTTCACGTCGTACAAGACAAAGAAGAAGGGGAATTTGGATTTTTTGCACACGTCGATGGTAGCAACAGAAGTAACCCTATCTGGTGGAAACTAAAAATTGAAGGGAAAACCTTGGGAATGGAGATGGACATGGGCTCGAAGTACTCGCTCCTGCCAAAGGCTCTCTACAAGAGGCATCTCTCACACATGCCACTGCAGGGAATACCAGTGTGTTTCAAGACTCTAACAGGCAAAAAAACCTTCAGTCCAGAAGTGACATTTGGGAAGTCGACTGGCCAGCTGCAGCTGTATGTGGTGGACACCCCAGGACCCCCACTCTTCGCAACCATTTCAACCTTCTGGAGCTTTGTGATGTGCTGAAGGTGAACAACCAACCTTGACTAAAGAGGCAGGACCAGCTGGACAAGAGTTCAAGGACATCTTTGATGACAGCATCGGGAAGCTTAAAGGGGCGGTGCAACGATTTTCGGACTTCGGTCAAAGATTTCTGGAAGTTGCCCCCTGACACTTCTGAAGTAAAGAACAGAAAACCGATTTCGCCTGCATGTCCTAGTTGTTGCGTAAAAAAAAGATAAAGATTGGCATTTCGGGCACCCCTCAACTCACTCCCAGTCTTCAGGGTCACACCTGGTCGCACTCCCAGTGACGTCATTCGGAGTGCCGTGTAGCTTCCCGTGTGCTATCTCGGAGGACGCTTCCCCTCCCTCTCTCTGCGTACATTAGCGGGCGCTATGCTGCAGCTTAGAGCCGAGCGAGGTCACGTAATCTTTCCGCCATAGTTCCTTCGGCTGCCACTTGGGGCTGCAGGTGGGGGAAAAAGCTCGACTTTTGCTTTGCGATTATGCAGCGGAATCGCGACATTTTTAATGAAGGAAGTGTTTTCTCTATCCTCTGGGACACGATAAACAACAAAAAAGTGACGAGATGCAAATTCTTTTAATCATAAAATCGTTGCACCGCCCCTTTAAGGACTTCAAACTGAAGCTGCACTTGAAGAGCGATGCTCACCCCAAGTTTTGTCCCCCTCGTCAAGTAGCATATGCTTTGAAGGAAAAAGTGGCCACTGAGCTAGACCGCCTAAAGTCAGAAGGAATCTTGACAAAAATCAACCACAGTAATTGGGCTACGCCCATTGTGCCAGTGATGAAGACAAATGGAACTGTCCGCATTTGCAATGACTTCAAAAGCACGATCAATCCCCACCTTGTAGTGGACCAGCATACACTACCTTACATTGAGGACATCTTTGCAAGGTTTTCCGGTGGAAGAAAATTTTCCAAGGTTGATCTCCGACAAGCCTACCTTCAGATGGAAGTGGTCGAGTAACCGAAGCCACTCCTAACCATTAACACGGAGAAAGAACTGTACTAGTACAACAGGATGATCTTTGGAATATAACCTCTTCCAGCTATCTGGCAATGAACGATTGACCAGATCCTCCAAGGAATTTTGTTATGTCATGCGACACAGGATGACGTCTTGGTCACTGGCGAGTCGGAGAACTCACACCTGCCAAACCTCACTGAAGTGCTGACGTGGCTACAGAAGTTTGGACTTAAAGCCTACCTGCAGAGGTGCTCCTTTTTTCAGGACTTTGTGACATCCTGCAGCTACAAATTTGACAAAATGGGTTTGCACAAGACTCGGGACAAAATCGGGGCTGTAGTGGAAGTTGCAACACCCAAGTCCACAGCTGAACTGATGTCATTCCTCAGCCTTATCAATCACTATGGGAAGGTCATTCCCGACTGTGCTAGCCTCCTACGACACTACATGGGCTTCTAGAAAAGTCGTCCATTTGGAAGCGAACCAAGGAGTGTGAGCTGGCATTTAGGCAAGCGAAGAAAATCGTAGCTTTAGACATGGTGCTTGTCCACTATGACCCTAGGTTGAAGGTGAGTCTTGCCTTTGACACGGGACCCCATGAACTGGGAGCTGTTCTCTCACATGTGATGCCAGATGGAAACAAAAGACCCATCATATTTGCTTATGTAGACTGAAGACATCAGAGAAGAACTATTCACAAATAGACAAAAAGGCTCTAGCCAACTTCTGGGGATCCAGAAGTTCCATGCATACCTCTACGGAGGGCACTTCAATCTGATTACGGATCATCAGCCATTCACACATGCATCTTTAGCCCAAGCAGCAGCATACCTGCGATGCAAGCGACGCGTATCCAGCGGCAAGCGGCTGATAGTCGAACCCAACCAGAAACAGTGCGTATCTCACTGTTTCTGGCTGGGTTTGACTACAAGATTGAATACCGAAAGTCTGAAGACAATGCCAATGCAGACTCCATGTCACCTCTCCCCATACCTGATGCGCCATAGGACAAGCTGGACGAAGCAGAACTTTTCCATGTGACTCAAGTGGAGACCCTTCCTGTGGCAGCGCAACAAGTGAGACAAGCGAGTCAGCGCGACTGCATCCAGTCATAAGTATGTTTCCACGTCCTGAATGGGAGGAACATTTGTGATCAAGATAATGAGATCCTGCCTTTCTACCCACGAAAGGACGAACTGTCTGTACATCAGGGAATAATCGTGTGGGGGTCAGGACACAAGGGTTTCCCCAGGAATTGAAATTAAGGGGGTGTCTGAATTTTTAGGGGGGGGGGGGAGTATAGAGGAGTCGTTGCGAATTAAGGGCGTGCCTTCAGAAAAACAAGGAAGGTGTACAGCGAAACCCGTTTAGAACGAACCCACGTACAGCGAATTATTGTCGATATCGAACTCACAAAATATTTAAATAAAAATGCATGTAAAAAGTACTTTGTATGACGAACAACATATTGGCTATGTCGAACTTCTTCCCCCCCCCCCCCCCCCCCCCCCCCCCCTTGGGGAAGGCTTCCAAGCATTCGTCTTCTAGCCTGTCCTTTTTTCCCCCAAAAAGTAGGAACGAAAGAAAATTCCAAAAGCTCAAGTTGCGAACAAAATTGAGCAAAGAGAAGCGATTCAGAAAGGGGGAGAAAGCTAAAAAATACACTCTGCCTGCATGCACAGAAAAAAACTTTTCATCCCAAAACCGTTGCCCACGAAGAAAATCGATTCAGAAGGGTAGATAAGCTAAAGACACAAACTTTGCACGCATGCAAAATCAAAACAAAAAAACTTCCCAGCGTGATGTTACAAGGCAGAAGCAATGAGAAAGAAAGAAATGCTCTCGCCTTATAACGAACGCATCGTGGAAGTTCATTATAAATAGCTTTTGCTATATCAAATTACTTGCTATATTAAACTGATCGTAGCATTTCCTGCTGTTCATTATAAATGGGTTTTACTGTACACCTCTCCCCTAGGTAGGGAAATCACTGTCAGGACAGTTATTCTAACTAAGCTACCGGAACTCATCCTGCAAGACTTTCACACAGAACATCAAGGCACTCTGAAGATGAAGGCTGTTGCACGTTGCTCTGTGCGGTGGCCTTCCATCCATGCTAACATTGAGGCTATCACCAAAAAGTGCAGCGGATGCTCCTAACAAAGCAACATGCCTCCAAACACACCATCCATCCTTGGGAGATTCCGAGCGGATTATGGTGTCGGTGGTCCACTTGAACTTCGCGGGACCGTTCCTCAGCAAGATGTTCTTCATTGTAGTTGATTCATTCTCGAAATGGCCAGAAGTTTTAGTTTCTGCTTCAGAGTGGTCTGGTGCTTGTGTGTTTGTGCTTCTGCTTCGTGCCTTGCTTGGATTGTAGGCTGCCGATGAGCTAACACCGTTGAAGAAAAAGGAACTACCAGACAAGCGGTGCCGTGCTGCTGCTTATTTGTGTAGTCGCCAAGTGGATTGTAAACTGAAGGACCTGAGCAAGTCAGGATGAGTGCAGTCAAAACATAAACTGATATTTCTTCTGTTTCCATCGACTTTTCACTTCTGCTATGCTCCCGAGTGAGAGAAATTGAGGCGGCCTCGGCTCACGTTATAATGGTAATACTACTTTTTTTTTTTTTTTTTGGGGGGCATCAAAACCTGCCCTTGCGTTATATTCATGTTCGCGTTATATTCGTGAAAATATGGTATTCAGTGCACCATACCACCCTGTGACAAATGGACTTGCAGAACGAGTTGTGCAATTCTTCAAGCACAGCATGAAGGGGGAAGGCTCAACGAACAAAAAGCTGGCAAACTTCCTCTTGGCATATTGCATCACACCACATTGTTCAACTGGTGAGGTACCTGCCAAACTGTCTTTCGGTCGTTAACTGCCAACTCGACTGACACTTCTGCGACCAGATCTGAACGGACAAATGTACTTGAAGACAAAACAAGATTCTGTTCAGAGCAGACAACTGCGCTCGTTTTCGGAAGGAGACCCTGTATCAGTGTGAGATTACCGCAGCCAGAGCAAGTGGGTGCCTGGAACAATTGTGAGGAGAACTTACTCTCTCTCGTACCAATTAAAAGTCGGAAGAAGCCACTTGGAATCGTCACATTGACCAGCTACCTAGTGGTCACTCGATCCACCAAAGCCTACCAGAGCTGGAGGCCGCAAAAGATGCTTGCCCAAGCCCAAGTGTGGAAGTGACAGATGACATGCCAGAGATGACTCATCTGCAAACTCCAAAACAAGTTAGCTGCATAATTGGCACACCAGCAGTAGGCCATGGCAGTAACACTGTAGGGGAGAGACATCAAGAAAACGTGACAAATTCTAGTCGTCCCCAACGACTGCGGCGGCCTCCCTGCAGACTGAACCTTTAAATTTGTTGGGGAGGAATTATTGTGTTTAACCTAACTGAGGATCGAAGCAACAACCATGGGCAAAACAACACAACAAAAATAACATGGCCGCCCTACTGTAACCGTCACACCATGCTTTCTGTAACTCTCTTCATGCCTTTATTTGTCCAAATAGACAAATTCCAATTAACAAACATAGAAAATATGAAGTATGTTATTTAATATGTGCTTTTTTATGGCTTCTTTTCTAGCTGAAAAGTGGAACTGTTGGCCACAAAACCCCTTTGCCACAGACTACGACCAATGGAACGCAGAGCAGAGAGAAACGTAAGCTTGACTGTAACAGACTTTGTTCTCATTTCTCATCCTGAAGCCAAAATACTGTTGCAGCTCCACCTTCTTCGAAAGCTGTCCTGAGTGCCAAGGTATGTTTTGGCTGCTTGTCTCCATTGCCAATAGCAGTCACAGCATTGTTTACAAAGCAGCACTAGACAACCTAATTTTGGGCGTGCACATTTGTTCACATAATATTAAGAGACAGCAGCCGTCGCTGCAGAGGCGGTTGTACGGCAGGCATCAGCTATGCCAGCACTGCGGAGCACAAAACCTCAAGGAACTGATCGGTGGACCCATTCCTGGGTCCACCGATCAAGTTCAATGACTTTGAAATATTTGCTATTCCGAAGTTCGTTTTTCGTTTAACTGAAGCATTTTTGCATAGAATGCATGAGAAAACTGCCAGGGCTTTTTTTTAAAGTTTGTTATTCTGCAATATACGTTAAGCCAACGTTTGCTGAGTGAGAGTTTACTGTACTTGCATTGTTTTCTATACAAGTTTCCTCATCATTGAGCACGGGCGGTTCAAACACCCCGTCCACGAGCATGTGTCTGTGCAGAAGTGACGCTGATATTTGTTTTGCCTGGTGCTCTTCCCAGATTGACTCGCTGCTTCACCACCTGATGGAAGTGCAGAGCAGCGTGAAGCTGCTGAAGGACCAGATGCTGCTCGTGATGAACCAGACGGAGTCCATGCTTGACAAGGTGCTGCCCGTGGTCACCGAGATTGTGGACGAGCTCTACAAGAAGGAGGCGGCCGAAGCGAGGTCGGAGCTCGAATTGAGCAACAAAGGTGGGAGGTCTCCCTCTATTTGACGAGCCTTGTTTGTCCATTCCGCTTGCTTCCATCTCCATACCGTGTTTACTCGCATAATGAACATACTTTTTTTCCCGAAAAATTGACGTATATTTGGAGGTTCATTACGCGGGGTAAAATTTTTGCATTTACACACTTGGTGCAAATGTCAAATTAGGTGAGAATATTACTCGGCAAGGCACTGTGGCACGTCTCCACTGATAATGGCGCACCCACGGCTGGTCGGGGGCGCGCCACAGTAACCATGCTTTATAAATTGTGAACCTTTTTAGGGCGCTTTCGTTGTGCCTTTTGCTAAAGGAAAAGCGCCCTACGAAGCTCACTTAGCACAGAGAGCAACGCGACCGTTCCTAAGCCTAACCGCTTTCACGATTTAACTGTCCTAAAGCGGACCACAGACAACAACATGTTTGTTGACATCAATGCATCCGATAGGCAAAGAATGTCCGGGGCTGGGCAATTTTTCGACCCAAGCTTCGTCAAGTGTGCGCGCTGCTCGGTTTTATGGTTGATCACTTCCGCAACTATGCACTTCCAGCCATTACGAGAGCAGCTTGGCTTGGCTTGGCCTGACCGCTTGGCAGCAAAAGAAAATTGGCTCTGTGGGCTTGTTAGCTAGCTAAGTTGGATGCAATTCAAGACTCGCGGAGCCGAAAATTGAAAGTTGTTCATTACGTGGGAAAAAAAAAAAGTCCAAATATTGGTACTTGTTGTGGAATATGCGTTCATTATGCGAGTAAATACGGTAGGCCGGTTTAGTCACTGACAGAATAAGGATGGAGTACCTAGATTTTCACACTCTTTCCTTTTTCAAGTAGGGGGTTCAAATCCCGGCTGTGGTGCCTGCAATCTGACCGGGGCTTGCTGCGGAGATTTCGGTTGCATGGCAAACGATTTTCAGGGGGTTTAAATTAATCCTTGGTTTTCGCCAAGGTGTGCCAGATGCTCTTCGTTTTTTTGGCACGTCAGACCCCTAAGATTGACTTTGACACACCGTTGCCACACTTAGTCGGCAGATTATCGCTCTTTCATAAGCGGTTGCATACGCCTTGTGACAATCAGCCAGTTCTCCATGCGTGCAAAATGTATATTAACCCATAGTTCAAAAACCTAACTAAAACAGATACGCCCCTTCAATCGTGCGACTCTTGAGATGGCCCACCCTGCGTTTTCCCTCGTTTTTTCATGCCGGCTTACACTTGCCGATTTGTCTCTCCCCAGATGCTGCTGAGGGCAGGGGGGACGTCCTCCGAGAAAAGGGCGAAGTCCTCGTTGATGACTGAGGCCTAAGACAGGGTTGCCTCCACTTCGCCCATGCCTGCAGCCCATTTCCGACTGGTGTGTTTACCGTTTCCAAATGAGTGGTCTCTCGATTTCCACCTAACGACGCCATTACAGTTACCCTGGCGGGGTCACATCTGCGGTTGTGGATGTGACTGAAGCCTGTTCTGCTCTGGGCGGCTCTCCAGCTTAAAAGTCCGCCGGAGCTTTGGCAGCTGGAGTTAGGACGCCGCGACGATGGCGACGCTCACCTTCCCTCGTGCTTTTTTTCGGAGCTAGGAGCTGACAGCGCGACACTCCGGCTTTCGTGAGGTCATTCGTTGCAACTTCGGGACCACTTTCGATGCACGGGTGGAATAGGATGCTAAGCACACCGGTAGGAGAGGCAATCCAGGCACTGTACCTCTACTCGTGTTGCACGTCGACCGACGCAGCTAGACCTATTTTTTACGCTGTCTCTAGTTGTAGAAGTGCGGCCTTCTTTTCTTTAAGTTCCTGACCAGGGTACGCTACAAATCTGCCTGACCTCTGCCATGTGGAGAGTTGTGACTTACTACAAGGTACACACATCTTGTCATTTACAATTTTTTTTATTTTTGTGCGTGCAGTGTTTTAATGGAGCATTTGTGCTTGCTGGAAAGTAAACGTTTTTACATGCTTCTCTCTGGGTCTTGCTTTCGTGGAACTGCCTTTCATCGTTGCTACATCTTTTGTCGTGAAATTCTCGGTTAGCAGCTGTGGCATTCTAGTTGTGGTTAGTCGATCTGTTTTCTTCATGAGGCCATTTTGCTTGTGGGTTATTTTGATTTCTTTACCATATTAAGATTTGACGGGCTCTCCGGTTAGGCCATGCACTAAAGTAGGGGGTTTTACAAAGGCTGACGGTTTGGTGAGGCTCTTGGAGTGGAGTTCTTCATGCTAAACAACAATGTTCCACATATTACATATGCTGGCCAATTAACATTAACTCAATGATACCGTCGAACCTACTCCAACGAAACTGGGAATAGCGAAATATCAAATATAATGAATTGTATGCTTCTGATGCTGCACTCTCTAAATAATGTTAGCTCACTTTGAACGAGCAGACTCGGAAGCGGCGCCGTGGGTATAGAACAACTTTGCCAAGGACCAGGAACCTTTCTTTGGCAAAATAACCAGAAATGTATGCCAGAACTTAAGTCAAAAAGAAAATATTGTCAACGAATTCGGCTTTGCCTCATCACAGGCCACATGCTTGCTCTATTTGCTGAGCTTTCCCTGCACTGATCTCTATGACAGTTTGCTGGATCACTCATCCCGCTTGGTCGCTGCAGCCGCAAGTGCAGCCACTAGACTGGCATCTTGCATGCAGCGAAATTGATTTTTCAGAGCGTTGCAGAGGGTAGAGGCAGCGAGCTCAAGACACGGTTTCTACTTCTTCGTCAACATTCGCCAAAGTTCTTAGAAAAACTTGTATAAATGGTGAGAATTGCTTTTGAGAACAAATGGAAAATTTTGCGAATGCGCAGCACCGCAGGAAAAAGGCACAACTTGTCAAAAGCAAGTTTTGCCGGTCTCGCGGCGTGATGGAAGTTTCCTTGGCACGCCGAAGTGCTGCATCTCTGTGCCCTCACATGCTTGGATACTGTTCGAGAATTGACGCCATGTGTATGTATTTCGCGAGTCCAATGTGCGTAAAGATGTATGTGCCTCTGGAGCAGCATTTTACTTTAGTATGGCAAGTGTATTTGTAACTTGTGGCACTCGTCCAGAAATGAGCTTGATCCAGTGGCTATGGAAAAGGGGGATGGGTGTATAGCGACGGCAACAGAATGCACATGACCATATGATCCGTGTTTCAAGGAATTTTCAATCTCGCCGTATCATACTTTTGTGTTCGAACACATATTTTGCTCCACAGCGTTGCTCTATTTGTGCTGCCATGTGATTCAATTGAGTAGATCTGTAACATAGCCATGGTTAACATGCTTTATAAATACCACAGATTTTTTTTTTTCCCTTTATTGATAGCAATTTGCCGTAACAGCTGGGCCATCCAGAACTTCGTGGCCGATATAGGATGCAAAGACATCTATGCACGACACACCTTCAAAACTTCACTGCAGCTTCGGTTCTTGACTGGTATCCAAGCATGCAAAGCACAAAGACTCGCCACTTCGGTGTGCAAAGGAAACTTTGATCATGCCGCGAGACCAGCGAAACTTGCTTTTGATGAGTTCTGCCTTTTTCCTACAGCACTGCGCCTTCGTAAAAATTTGCACGTGTTCTCAACGGCAATTTTCACAGTTCACACAAGGTTTTAAAACACATCTTCGGCGAATGACGACAAACGAGTAGAAGCCATGTCTTTAACCCGCTGCCGCGAGCCTCCGCAACGCTTAAAAAGGCGATTTTGCTGGACTGAGCGTGTTCCAGGGCGTCTTCACAAATTCGAATGGGGTCAGCCAGATGCCGGAAATAATACCCTGGCGGTGGTCGCAAGAAACAAATTAATAAGTGCGTCAGAGTAACTCTCGGTGACTGAAAATATGGTGCACATGATGTTTCAATCACGGTCATCCAAAATTCTGGTGGAAGAGTGCGACTAGCGGAACGATCGACTTATCCAAGCGCCGAGGGCCGGGAATCTGCCGTCTCAGCGGTCACACTTTGTCCGAGCAAAGCAGAATTCGAGCGGCGCCGTTCGTTTCTTACATCTTTCTTCATAATAATGATTGAAACATTACGTGAACTAGGGGTGTCGCGAACCGGTCGAGGTTCGAGTTCGACCAGGTTAGACTTTTTCGAACTTTTAGTGGAAAATTCGACGAACCTTGTATTGAGGTTCGACTCGTGTGCGCATGCGCGACAGGCTGACCAGTTGGCTTCGGATTGGATGGTGATGGCTAAGGGATGAATTAAGGGCAGCGCTGACTGGTTATTTCAGTTAATACAGTACAAAAAAAAATTAAGGTATTAACTTCTTCTGCGATTAGAATTAGTTTCTTTTAATTGCAACTGTTTTTAAAATGAAATAACCCTTTTCATAAAAAAAAATTCTCCAAACCTAGCCATGCTTGTATCAAGGTCTGGCCACACTGTCCACGAAGCCGAACCGGTCGAATCTGGTAAAAAGTTCGAAGGTTCGTCGAACCGGTTCGACCCAGTCAAACCCCGAAAGTTCAACCTAAAAATTGGTTCAACAAAAGTTCGCGACACCCCTAACGTGAACCCTATTTTCAACCGTAAAGGGTTACTACATTTTACTCTTACGCGCTTATCAAAATCACATACGAGCATATACCTTTGATTAAAACAGTTTTTCGCTACCACCGCTAGGGGATTCTTTTAGGCCAAGAGAGTTTGCCAAGCCCACTTGCTGCGTCTGGTGCACGCACTGACCCGGCTCTGAACGAGGGCTCCTGCCAACGTTACTAAAACACTCAGTTGGGAAACTCGCCGTCGAAACCTGGGCCGCTGGCGTCCACCGAGACCGAGCTATATGCGATAACAGCGCCACTCTTTTTTGTTTGTCTGTACTATATGGTCACCTCGAGCTTTTTGAAAGCCTGTTTTTGCGTAAAAACAAACGGAAAAGACTCTTTTTGTATGAAATTTATTGGAGTTTAGTACCAAATGATGGGCGCGTGATGTTTTTATCATCTTTAGTTCGCAGGGTTTTGCGGAACAATTAGTATTGTTTTCATACAACCATGCCTCAGCGGGCCTTTTAGGTAGCGCGTCCCGCCCTAGGTGCATTTTAACTTCAGTAGTTGAAAGCGGCGCGTCCGCCGGGGAGACGGGGGTGGTACCCCTCTAACCTCTACCGCTGTATCTGTTCTTGAAGCCAAAATGCAAGTCACGTGCAGTTTTTCGAGTGGCCGCTGCGGGAGAAATGGTGGCGTTGTGTTCGTCATTAGCTCGGTGCTCGGAGACAGATTGGGGCCATTTCTTCAAAGCTGTCTCTATGGGAGTTTCCCAACTAAGTGTTTTAGTAACGTTGGCTCATGCCAACGGCGCAGCAAAAAAAAACAAAAAAAAAACAGAGGGCCGGCACGGTTGGGCGGAACATAGCGCCACCCTTCGCCATTAGGAGGAAGCTGATAGTCATACTTACTCAGCTCCCCAAAGAGCGGCGCTGTTGCCGATGTGTCAATCGAAGACCTGTGACCGCGACTTTTCCATCGCAGTCTGTCCTTCCCGCGCGATGTATTCTGTCCGACCTTTGCTTAGTTCTGCTTCCACTGATTTCGTACGAGTCTGTGCTCCAAATCCGCTAATGTACACACAGAATTACCTGTTGTGCGAAAGTGGTTTCCCGTTTCATCTTCTCAATTGTTGCGTTTTTTTTTTTCTCATTTATTTTGTTAAGTGTATATTCGAAGTTCTACCGTATTTTATCATATCTCCACCAGCCGCGGAGCCGGAAGATATAATTCTTGTCGTATATTTGCTGCTCCCGGTATTCCACTTTCCCGCATTTCAGCTTCGCAGAGGGAGAAGCGAACCTCCAGGCGATTTAGTACGCCTGCGCGTGTTGGCTAGCGTAACAAACAAAAATTCAGCATTTTTTGTTGCGAATTTGTACTGAAAACTCACAATAGCGATACAACTATATGCTACATGCTTATTACGTTCTATATTGAATTCTCGTTTTCACATAAAAAACCGCACTAAAAAAGAAAAGTTTGGTTTTTCGCGGAGGATTACGAATTTCCCACTTTATTTAGAGAGGTGCATCTTAGATTAGACAGATATTATCTTATCAAGACTTACACGCTTCAAACGCAAAAGGCATCGCGTCTTCCTCCGACAACAAACTCTACTAATAACTACTTCGCGCGGCGTGTGAACAATGCGCAAAGCTTCCCTTTTTCTTAGGGGGGCGGGGCGGGGACGGGGCGGGGACGGGGCGGGGGGCGAAGCGAGTATACATGTAAGAAATTCCAGATGTAGCAAACATATTCCTTCCACCCGTTGACTTCGTTATATCCAGGTTCGATTGTATCACAAAAAACCAAAGCACTGCAGTGCACAAGAGGACTTTGACTGATTTCTGTTTATAAAGAATTTCACCGCCCAGAGGCATGGAGAGTCATGCTTAAATACTTGTCATCGCAACAATTATCTAACAGAGGCCTGCATTCAAATTGAAGGCAGTGGCTCCACTGTTTAGAGCGCAGCTCTCAGGCGCCCATTTCCGGGATGAATGGCGTCGCCGTCGGCGTAACCGCTTGACGTCACACAAGTGACGTCGCACGGGCATACCCTCCCCTCCCTATCCTCAAGCTGTGCCCTAATTCGGCATTACAGAAAATTGTGGCCTTCTTTAATTTTTTTTTTCTTTCGCGCAGTTTTATAGAAATCTTGACTTGATCAAACTCGTGAAAGGGCTTTATTTTATTGTCCTTCTGAAGTGTTATATTTTTTTTGCTTGTTTCTTTACAATAAACACATTCGGAAGATCGAAACGTGAAAAAAGAGTATTTTAATACACTGAATACATTTGTAGTCAAACAATTTATCGTATCACATGGTTGCCATCACAGCCGTTCGAATATTCTCGAGTGTGGGCTTTGAGCGTGGCTACCTTTGTTTCCTCTGGCGGTATCAAAGACTGCACTATTCCGGTACTTTTTCACGGTGAAACAATGTGCATTTAAGAGATTTTCTCGATTGAGTGAAGTCAATCCTCTTATATTGATTGATTGAAACCGTTATTATGAAGCCCGAAATGCAGCTGGAAAAGTCTGACTGTATCATTCGGAGGATCTTATGGCAAAGTATGCTTCTCAAGCCTATTTGAGGGGCCCAGATGACCATAACATTGCGAACACCCGTACCCGACCGCGCACAAAATCTAGGTGCTATGCTTCTTTCCAGCGCTTAGCTTAAAATCCTCAATGTTCGTGAGTCCTTAAATTTCGCGGATTGAAAAATTCGCGGAAATTAAAGGGGCCCTGCGAAGACTTTTTTACTGGTTTTTAATTTGCACCGAACCTGAGCGCACTGAACGTAGTAACTTAACGAAACCTTTCTTTTCTCGAATTTCGCTTAATAACAAAAACAAGCAAAAAATAACCTCCTTCGTGACGTCATTGGTTGCTTGAGTGGCCGTGAACTGAAGCAGGGTTAGTGAGCTAGCGAGCACTCACGGCTGCCGCACTCCGTGTCGACGGCTCGAGAGGGCGCCACTAAAGCGTGTTCTGGATAGGCTGAATGAAGCGGGCAGCCAGGGCGCCTCGCGTTGCATTCGCTGCACGATTAAACACTGATTCGGCATGACAACACTTCATTGGCCACAAACGACAGCAAACACGGGGTAAAGATCAGTTCAGAACGGAAGCCACTTCGCGCTGCCATACCGCGAAACGGCCAAACAGCGAGCCAACCCTGCGCCGAAGGCCTTCGGAACGCTCGCAACCGGTCGGATCCTCAAGTCCGTAAACGACCGCAGCGCCGCCGCGTACATCCGGGACCTCTCTACGCTCGCGCTCGTGGGAGCCTGATCCCACTATTCCTTTCTAGTATGCGCCGCCTTTTTTACCGCTTGGTGGCGGGTATGTCGACGGGGCATTTCTGGTTTCCGGACTTTATAAACTGCATTTGTTACTTTTCTGCTCTAAAATACTGAACAAAAACTGTTTTCATAATTAATAGAAAAGGTTCGCGCCACTCATATTTTGTATTTCGACTAAAAAGAAGCTTTTAGCGGCTCTGACCAGTAGTAAGCCCAGGACCAAAGACGTCAGACATCGCGCGCTTTCGGTACCGCAGGTCGCCCCCGTCGGTGGAGGAGGTTTCCGCGTCGTCCGGTGTAAATATGACGCACTGATATTTAGTTACTCTCTCCGTACCCGCTGGCTTGCCCGAACTCCAAGAGACGTGGAAATCGCAAAAAAGGTAGACGCTTAAATATGATCGCAGGGCCCCCTTAAGGGCTCGCGAAAATTTCGGACCTTAAAGGGGCCCTGCAATTATATTTAAGAGTCTACCTTTTTTGCGGTTTCCACGTCTCTTGTGGTTCGGGCAACCCAGCGGGCACGGAGGGAGGAACTAAATATCAGTGGCGTCATATTTTGACCGGACGACGCGGAAACCTCCTCCTCCCTCCTTCTTCTTCTTCTTCTTCTTCTCCCCCTCCTCCTCCTCCTCCTCCTCCTATGGGGGCGCCCCGTGGTGTCGAACGCGCGCGGCATGGGACGAAATCATGACGTTGTTGGTCCTGGTCAGCCAACGGGAAAGAGCTGCCCCCTTCCCGGCACCCCTCTCTCCTCGGCCTCACCTCCTTTTCCCGTCTTCCCCTCCCTCCCCACATTCCTCAGTCACCGCGGCAAGGGGAATCCTCTGACGCGGGAAAAAGGGAGGACAGAGGACCAAGGACGTCATGATGAAGGTTATTTTTTTGCTTGTTTTTGTAATTTTGATATACCTGTAACTTTTAAAATAAAGCAGATATCGAAAAAAAGAAAAAGTCCACTAAGTTACTTCGTTCAGTGCGCTCAGGTTTGGTGCAAATAAAAAAACAGTAAAAAAGTCGTTGCAGGGCCCCTTCCAGAGTTTCAATGCAGGCACGTTTGGAATTCGCGAAATTTAGTGGCCGCAATTGTGTCCTTTGTGACAGATTTGCGAAAAATAGGGGCCCGAGAATGAAGGGTTTTACAGTATTTCCTAGGGGCGAAAAAAAAAATGCCGAATCACTGAGCTGTGGACGCATGCGCGTCTTCCGACATTTCGCACACGATAACTACTGCGCATGCTCAGAACACGATATCTGTAAACAAGGGTGGCAGCGTGCGCAGAGGGCGATTATTGGAACGGTCACGTAGCGATACCTTCCAGAACCGAGTCCTGCTCACTCAGCGTCGTCGGTTCGTCAGCGTGCACCCACGGGCTCCAGCCCACACCACCTGTCGGTGATAGGCTAAGAGTTCAGGGCGAGGGAAAGAAAGGCGAAGCAGGCAGAATGCTGGATCGAGGGACATGTTTCCTCCTCTCTAGCAATCCATCGGTTTGACGAACCGACGACAATGAATGGATAGATGAGGCGGAACCATTTCGACAGGGCGGCGGCTTGCGCCACCTAGCCAGTAATGGATCCACGCAGCGCCTCGCAACGAGCGTAACGCTGGCACGCGGCGAAGCCAAGACGGACTCGTCTGCACCTTTGCGGCAATTCTCGTCGAGCTTCGATGTATTTGCGGCTTGGAGCAGGTCTTCTATAGGGAGTATTCACTGGCGGCCATAGCTGTGTGCGCGAATGCTGAGCGCGTGCTGATGGCGAGCTTCCACAGTTCTTTTGCAATGTGCATTCCGCACCATCAAGAGTGCCGGTCTTATACTTCGTTTCAGCTTCCGTCCAGACGCAGCCAAAGCTACAAGCGCGAGCTCCGGGCTTTCAGCATCCCTGCCAAGCACGCGCGCTCGTGCAGTGCAAGCACTGTTCTGGACCACATGCTCGCGCTTGTAGCATCGGCTGCGTCTGGACCGAAGCTGAAACGAAGTATAGCAGCCTATTGATGTCAGCTCGTTCTGAGCGTGCGCTCTAAACAACACCCACATATATGGCGTCCAGTGAATACTCGCTATAGGTGATGTTGGTCCAACATGCACTTTGTTCTGCACAATTTTTGCGAAGGCACGGGCGTGAAGCTTTAGAAAAATGACCCTGTTGCGCTTGAGCTCTTGCCAACAACGTGTATAGCAAAATGCATCCTGTCTTGCCTATGCATTTAATAGCACTGTGTGCAACAGGTTCAACATTATATACGCCACTGTGCGTATTTCGGCGCGCCTCCAGGTAAAAAGAAAAGAAGAAAGACTATTTTTGAAACGTTGTTGCTCACGACGGTGTACCAGCAGTGATGGCATAATGCCACCAATTTTTCAGTCTCTTGCGCGTTACCGTGCAAAACAGTTTCCCAAAGAGCCAGGTAGGGAACGATACAAGTTCCTGCTTGTCTTTGTTAGGATTCATTTTGCGATATCTATGAGCATCTGCACAGTGGATGTGGTTATCACAGAAAGCTGGTAAAAATATACGCGATATTTCACTTTGTCACGTCAATCCCCATTGAGCAAGTGAACCATGTGTGGCAATGAAGACAAAGCTATGGGCCCCGTGCGCTTTGAAATAGCCTCCTATGTGGGAGGCCATGGCCTTGAGCACCCACAATTGTGTACGCGAACTGTTCACTATATGCCACAGCAAGCGCCACATGAACGATAGCGAGCGCCGGTGGAAGGCAGATGTAATTATACCAAAATCTTAGAAAAAAAAAAGTAGGCAAAAAGTACTATGTTATTGCGCCTTTAGATTTAACTGGGTCCACAAGTAGGGTCAGACGCATATAGAAATGATGATTGCCACAAGCGCCATGACGTTGCACATTTTGTGCTCTCCGGTTGTCTCAGACATAAGGTAGTTTCAGAATCGTCTCCCAGTCACACACCTGCTAGATAACGAGGCCGCAGTGCTTGATTGACGTCACCTGCTCGAGGCCAGCGCAGGATTGGACACGCCGCGCTCCCCTCGTGTTAATCGATCAGTGAGAAAACGAATCCGAGCCGACCGCTGACCTGCAGCACGGGTGTCCAACCTGTGTCCCTCGCTCGAGCAGATGACGTGGAAAATCAAGCAGTTGTTCTCGCGCCATCTCATTCTTGGTGCAACGGTCCGCACACCACGCCTGGAAGACACATCCCCGCTGCACGATGCTGAGCCATTGACACCCCAGGCTTCCGCTGGCTAATGATGATCCGAGCAGGCCACGACACAACACAACATGGTGCACGGAACTCGAGTGAGCACACGTCATCCACAGTAGTGTATCACAGACACAACGTCGGCATCACGAAGACTGGAGGGCGCGGTCCTGGTACAATCAGCGTTGCTTCGCCCAGCTGGTCAAGAACATGTCCTTGAGTCTTCCGGCGACGGCGCCAAGGAACCCGCGTGTCCTGACGAGCTTTCCGTCCTTGCCGGTCGTGTGTCCCGTGTAGAGCATGTAGTCGGCGACGTCGAACAGCACCGACGGCAGGCAGATACCCACCACCGTGACGAGCCAGCGGAGGAAGCCGTCGCACTTGTACGATGCCTTCGGGTACTGGGAGCAGACGGCGTGTTCGAGGGCGTCGATCACTTCGCCGGTGTCGTTTCGAGCGATCAGGTCCACTGCTTCCAGGAAGCGGGTGGTCATGTCGTGAACGTAGCTCTCGCCGTAGAGTTCCATGACCTCCTGCGGCACCTCCTTGCACTTCTTGAGGATCGCCTCTGCGGTCGGTATGATGGCCGTTCTGCAAGACGAGAGCGGCGCTTTGAGGGGAGTTTATAGACGCTTTGCAGCAGCTCTGCATGGGCGCCGCCATAAACAACCTCCTTTTTTTGTTTCCTCTTATTCCGTTTACTTCACTTCATCATTACCCTAGCAGGCCATCTTATTGCCACCTTACATTCTATTGTGTCCTTCTCCCCAGCATTGGTCCTTGTGGAGGCTCGTCAACGCCCGTTTCAGTGGCGCGGTATCTCCGTAAGACTATAGAGAAAGTCAGCAATGGCGGTTGTAATCTGGCGTGTGCGCAAAGCGTCCATAGAGGTTAACGCGGAAATTGAACATTCTTCCACCTCCTGTCTAACGTTTGAAAAGAGACTTGATGTGGCGGGTCTTACGTTCTCCTTACGCCTTACGCCTTAGGTCTTACGTCTTGACGACGCACATTTCGAAAAAAGAATATCTTTTTTTTCATTTTTTTTTTCAGTTCAATATATTGGTTTCTACAAAACTACGTTCTACCTAAAAGCTTCATTGTCATGCCAGTAGGTGCCGCACAGCCCGCACTGATGGAGTCACAGAGGCTCTCGGCTTGTGTGTAAAAAGCTACAGCAGAGGCCTTCTGTCTATCCTCGTTTTTACCTCAAGAAAAAAAAAAAGTTTTGCGCTGCTCAAAGTAGTTTTTACTAGATTTAGTTGTCGGAGAAAGAAACAATGTTTTTGGCGTTTGAAACGTACGTTTTAATAAAATAAGGGTAAGATTCACCCACATATACCTTAATCCAACACATAAAGGAGAAAATCAGTAATGGTCCTCGAGAAACCGGACTTTTTTTTACAGCGGTTCTTGAGGTGATTACGAGTACAAGAGGATCTTCGCTTCGAGCCCTGGAGTGCAAGGTTGCACTGATTCCCGGATACAGGTTGTGTTTTTTTTTTGTTTTTTTTCTTTTTTCTTTTTCTTTTTAGGGGGACTGATGGCCTAGTGTGTGAACGCATTGCAGCTCGGAGCACGTGGAAGAAATGCTTTTGCTGCAGAACCCAGGAATCCTGGGTTAATGCCCACCCCTGCTTGTTGATCTGGAAGAGCGTCACCGGCATGCGGTCGAGGCTAGCAGTTGTACTGCACTGACTGAATATCTCATCTATACTTCGTCTCACATTATATGATGGACTAAGGCAACAGCTACGAACCGCCAGATTCAATCGCGAGCCACTTAGAAATTCTGTGGTATTTCGCTTGAATGCACGTATCGGTGCCCGCATCTTGGATCAGTGAAGGGGATGGGCGGACAGTGACTCGAATCGAATAGTACTGAGTGAATCATCAATTTTACATTGCAAAGAAAGCCACTACGTACAGATTCTTTGCAATGTGGAAGCTATAGAAATGATTGCAGTGATTTTGATTAGGAGCATTATTCGTTCATTCCTAATCAATGCTGAGCATGTCATAGTTTAGCGTGAAGCGTGATTGGACCTGGGCGGCCCGTATACCTTTGACCTTTAATCCATCATAGGATGATGCGAAGTATTATTAGAGCGGACACCCGAGATGCCCATTGCGGCTGACCAGCTTCCCGCTATCTAAACAAACACGCAACGGAATTAGTAGTTTAGATGGGAGAATTATTATTTTTTTATCTGATAACCCGGATGAGACGTTAGGATCTACTCGACTTACTGCCTAGACATTATCAATACCCGTTTAACACATAAAGCACGCGTCGTGACCGTACCTGTAATAGGTGGGCTCGATGAGGGACACAGAGATGCCCCACTTGACCGCTTCCCTCCTCAGCCCGTCGCCCAGAGACACCACGGCGTGCTTGGTCATGCAGTACACGTTGTGCCACGTCGTTGTGACTCGTCCTGGAACGAGAGGTTGCATTTCTGACGCTCCGCCGGAGACATGCACGCATAGACGTGCACTCTTCGAAAAGCAGATTGCGTTAAATTCCCGATCGCTCCTTTACAGTTTTCCACTTGTCCACGAACATCTTCTCGGGCTAGTTGATAAATTAAGCTCGCGCAAAGAAACTGTTGCATACATCGTGCATCTAAATTGGAAATAGAAAAGTGAACAACCCACACACAAAGACCGCATGTATGTACCTTTTTGTAGTTGTTGTTGTTGTCAAGTATCGGATGCTCAAGACGTTTAAATATTTCCAGGTCACTTGGATGTTCTCAGGTATTTTTATTATTACATTTTAAATGGACATATGTACAGCTGTGTTTTTGTTGCTTGTCACTCTGATCGCTGATCCTCTAGAATTCCCGAGCTGTGGGTCTCACCCGCGTAGCTGGCCGTAAGCACCACCCTCCCTCGGGACTGCCGAAGCAGCGGCAGGAAGGTCTTGATGGCGCGCAGGCATCCGTACACGTTCACGTCGAAGGTCCGGTGCACGTCCTCCATGGACCACCACTCCAGCTCCATTGCCAAGAACACGCCGGCGTTGGCCACGACGGCCCAGAGCCCTGAAAGAGGGTCGCTGCATTCTCATCGAGCACATAGTCACGAAAAAAGAATAGTCAGAAAGTTGTTTATTATTTTATTTTACTTATTTCAACGACCAGCGCAAGAGGTGGCATTATATGAGGGAGAGGGTTATATTTATTTTGAAATACCGTCGACCCCCATTAGGGTCATTGCAATTGAGAAAGTGTTTCCTTATTTGATCTTGTGGATCCAAAATAAAACAATAGCCTTAAAAAAGGAACAACACGAACACTCCGATTGATAAAGAGCATGCAGTATCCTAGAACAACACTAACACCCACTTTTTGAAAATACCAGAAATTGAGATGAAGAAAAGCTACACAAATATACGTCTCGCTAACAAGAAGAAAAAGTTTTAGCATATTGCTGTGAAGAGAATACAAGAGTCAGGTATGCAAGCGCACAAAATAATAAAGAAAAAACAGGAAGTTCTCAAACTTCAAAGAAAAACACACAAAAACAAATGAAAGACGTTTACAATTTTCTGTAATGTCGACTTAGAGCGCAGCTCTTGAGGGGGAGGAGAGGAGGGTACGGAGGGGAGGGTATGTCCCCCTCTACCTTCCCCGCTAAATTTAGCAGAAATAATTTTTCACCAAATTTAGCAGGAAAATTTTCCCGCAAAATTTAGCCGGGAATATTGGCAATATCAGATACGTATGATGGCATTATGGTAAACGTCCCATAATCCAACGCGCGGTTGCGCCGACGCCGACGACACCGCTCAAGCCGGAAACGAGCGCCGGGGAGCTGCGCTCTTAAATAAAACTTCAAGAAGGAAGTGGAAGCTCCTCCCACCTCTTTCCAGTTTAGCAGAGCGAATGCTGGAGAGGAGGCGATCTCCTCTCCAGCGTTTGCTCTGCTAAACTGGAAAGATGTGGAAGGAGCTTCTACTTCCTTCTTGACCTGTCACCAACTATAAAAGAACGTTTCTCCGCGAGGCAGGAATAATCTCGCCACCCTTCCCGTTTCCCCCTCTCTCACTTCTATCTTGACGGCGGGGGATCGACTCCTTTTGTTGCTGCATTTTGGGGCTGGATAAGACAGGATAAGCTCCCGGCCTCTCCAGCCAGAAGATGCAGCAGCAAAAGGAGTCTCCCTGCCGCCAAGTGACCAGAGGGACAGGAGGAAACGGGAAGGGTGGCAAGAGTGATTTTTTTACCTTGCGGAAAAAGATTTTGTATGTCGGCCTTTACGAGTGAGGAAGTAAAGTCTCGCCCATGGCTCCGGAGTGTCTGCACTGACGTCACTTGTTCAGACCACGTCAGACATAATAGGGGAAAGGGCGCGTGGGGGCGTAGCTTCCGTTCCGTTAATGCGACGCCTCTGGCCACCAGAAAGAAGGGCGGACTGACGTCACGTGCAAGCCATGTATGCATTTCACCCCGCTGATCGCCAAATCGTCCCTAAGCGCTGTCTTTGGTTCACCGAAGTAGCAGAGACGGCTGTCTCGACTGGCGCTCTAGTGCTACGATAGACGGCGCGGCAAAGGGGAAAACCGCTAAGCTGCGGCGTATCCAGCCGTTCCAACTACGTAAAACCTGTCCGCCCCAAGGTCATTGGGCTGTCGGGGAGTGAAATGTATTCCACTGGTGAGGTTGCGCTGTGTGACTGGGAAACATCTTCGAATCAAAAAACGATTCTCAAATTGTATTCGAGGAGGGACATGAAACATGCGAGGTGTCATCGGTGCGGCATGAAAGCTGTTAACTTCGTGTGATAGAAGTGATAGGTGACGGTGCGTGAGAATATCAATGAGACTGCCAGCCTGACAAGGGTGTGGCGGAGATTGAGAGAAGGGAGTGCGGCGCGCGTCTCAACTTCGGTGACGCACGTAAAGGATAAGCTCGTTCCTTAGATTTCATTGCGACTTAAAAAAAACAGCTTTTATACCTTTCTATTCATTCCCTCGTTCATTGCTTTTCGTGTCAGACAGGCATATAGAGAACGCGAGCAGAGGTTGGAATTAATTCGTTGTACTTTATGCTTTTACTGTAAATGAGAAATTGAGTCGGACTGTCAGACAGGGGTCCTTACTCTAGTACATCATGCGGTGATCTTGAGAACAATATTCATATCTGTCTCGCTTTCTGGACCCGCTGTATGCAGCTCAAATTACTCACAATAAATATATGAATAAACTCACCATTCCCGTGCAGATTGTGCTTCACGTAGTCCAGAGCCTCACGGAAATGGTCGTCCTTCGTGACGTCGAGTCGGACGACGTGCAGTGCGGCCGAGCCTTCCTTGCGGAGGCCTTTAGCACCTTCTCCGTCAGGAAAGAGGCATCCTGCGAACACCTGATATCCGGCTTACCACTCGATTCCCTTCGCAAAACGAACATAAGTTGCACACAAGTCAATCGCCTCGTAAATCAATGCCCGGCTTTTTTTTTTTTTTTTTTTTTGTGAGTGTTTTTGAGCGCTGTTCGGGCGTAAAAACACAAAGCATGAATAAATAAACCAATGAGTGGTGAGCAATTTAACCGCTCACATAAAGGTGTCTTTAGGTACACGCGCATTTATTCTCAAATTTCATGAATGCAGGTTTTACGAAAGCTCTTTAGTCCTAAAAAATCATTTTTACAACGGAGCTGTTAAGGGCTAGTTTCCCCAGTTTCGTGTCCGCTCTTTTGGCCGAAATGCGTTACATGAAGCGGCAAGCCGACGCGGGTCTGCGTTTGTCCGGATAGACTGCGTTCTGTCTGCGTTCTGTGTCCGGACAGAAGCCGCAAAAATAAAAAATAAAAATTAAAGGAAGATAACGCATCCTTAGAGAATGCGTTAGCATGACCCTTGGGAAACGCCACACACGTCTCCCTTTGGGAAACGCTAACACCGATCCCGTAACGAAACCAAAAAGAGCCAGCAAAAAATAGAGAAAGCAAAAGAATACGCCATAACAAAAAAGTGAAGGGGTCAGCGTTAGCGTTTTCCAGATGGGAAGTGTGTGGCGTTTCTCAAGGGTCAGGCTAGCCCATTCCCTAATGATCCACCAAGAGATGTTCTTTCGACTACCATTGCACAAGGAGAATGACTAACGCGTGTTACATGAGTTCATGAACGTCAGGGATTCATTCTAAGTGATATTTACGCAAATCACAAAAATTTTGCAGCGCGTGGAGAGAAAGTGCGCACTGCAGAATTCAGAGATTTCGCATTCAATAGGCATCCTGCGTTGCCCAGGAGGCGCTGCGAAAAATGACTTGTTAGGACTTGTTTTGGGTGGTACAAACTTGAGCGATAAAACTGCCACACATATAGAAGCGCGCATGCTCTGGCGCAAAACACGAGAACGAGTAAAACAGAAAAAAAAAAAAACGAAAAATGGTAACGCCGTCGAAGCACAGGCCAAAGCTAGGACGATAAAAGCGTGAACCAAGAAACGCCGTGTCACGCGTCCCAAAAAAACATAAAGGGGAAGAAAAAACAAGAACGTCTGGATACCAGATCTTCTAATGTCACCACTTAGAGATATGAGACGCGTACCCTAGCGGTGGTGGCATAAATCCGGAACTTTGGATTGTCTTGCGGCGTTGAATGTCGCCGATTTCGGACGTCCAAAGGTGTTTTTCCGTTCTTCTGCACTACACAAAAGTAAACAAAATCACGGCGAAGGCACCACAATAGTGGGAGTCCCAATTAGGTGAGCGTGTACTACCCAAAACGAGGGTGCCACAGTTTGTTCAAAGCTTAAGCGCAGGAGGCTCATAGACCAATTCCTATACACGGACAAAGCCTGGCAGATCGCCACGAGAAGCGGCCGCCGAAATGGGAAAGATAGAGCGGCAGACAACGGATGAGATTACAGCCACGCGACTGGCGCCCCACTGCGTCGAGACGCCGAAACACACTTCTCAAGAGCGAACAATCGTGTTTCGGGTCCTCGCCGTTGCAAAAGCTGTGCGCTGAAGTCCAGGTTCTCCGTGAAATGACTCTTTGACGCTCTGTGCTACCAGATCCTAGCGCTCCAAATCTGCGACCGGACACTCCAAGGCTCCGTCGTCGAACTGCCAGGCTTTGGGAGTATAATAGAGGAGGCTATGACCAATCTCACCATACAGTTTCGTCACGCCTCCGCTGCCGGCTTGCATCGTGAAAAGTGCATTCTTTCCACACGCGCGCGCACGCATTTTACCCTCACAAGATGAGTTTTCAGTTGCAGCTATAGACAGATTGCAGGATGTGGGGTTCCCTTCCCGGGTCTTATCTGATGTTGCTGAAGGGTTGGTTAAGAAGCTGAAGAAGCTCGTCAGGGGAGAGGAGGCTGAGAGGGCAAGGACTGAAGTTAGACCTGTTGTCCTGTCTGATGTACATGAGGTCTCTCATAACCTCAAAAAGGTGGCAAATAAGTTTCGCATTCCTGTAGTTTTTTCCGCCCAAAACAATCTTTCCAAGCTATGCGAAATAATAAACGATGCAGGAGTGCCGGGTGATGCGGAGGGAGTGTGCGGCAAGCGTCATGCCACCAAATTTCGGCAATGTGCCTTAGGGGTTACTTGCGAGGTACCGCTGTCTTGCGGTCGGGTTTATGTTCTCTAGACGGGGAGGTGCATTAATTATTTAATCAGAGAACACTCTGCCACCATTAGGCAACCCCCGTCTGGCCACTTGGCTGCACATTGTGATAGGTGTGAGCGCCAGGCCGAGTTCAATGGTACCAAAATTCTAGGAAAATTCAAAACAAGGTTGGGACGCGAGATACAAAAGACATTCATGATAAAGGCCCATGGCACGAATGTGTGTATCATTGCTCCGCCTGTTGCCCTATCCAATAAGGAGCCGGATTTTATCGGTCAAGCTACGCTCACTCAACTTTGACGGCAGGCTTTCCAGGTGATCAATAAAGGTCTATTATCTTTGCGCATGTGCGGTTTTATTATTCTTTTTCTATGTCTCTTTCTATGTTTCGTTCAGTAAAGTTCAGTTGCAAGTAACGCCTCGTCCTGTGCACTTCTTTATCTGTCCCTGTTTTTTTTTTTTTGACGTAATTACTGCCGTGCAAAAAAGAAAAAAAAAAAAAAACATAAAAATGCTGCTGTGAGTGCTGCCCCCTCCTCCTCCTCCCCCGAAAAACAAAAGAAGCGAAATTGAAGATAGCACATGCACGGGTGCTAAAAGGTGTCCCAGCTTAATCTAAGTTACATAGCAAATTGACGATTTCATTTTTTTTCTCAGACTAACTTTTAAAAATATGGGCCCCAAATATAGCCGCCTGTCAGAGCTTCCCTAAAAAATAAACGGTCCCTGCCTTAAACTTCGAGCAGCCGGAAAGGCCAATCACTCAAACTTCCGCTTCAGACAAAAGAAAACAAAGAAAAGAAAGGTAGCCTCAAAAGAACGTTCCCGGCTTTTCCCCCGAGGGCCGTAACTCTATGCCACAAAAGAATCAATTGAAGCGGCTCCTTAGGTTAAAAAGAGAGGAAGAGCGTGCTCTTTCGCCCTTCATTTGAGGCCAGCTCCCTGCGGACAAGATTTCGACCGCTCTTGCAAACGGATTCAGCGGTATGGCCTGGCTTTGGCAAGCATCGACAAGGTTAGGTGAGGTTGGGTTAGGCAAGGCTACGCTAGGCTAGACTAGCTGCGTAACCTTGGAAGGTTTGGCAACACAGCGCCGCATACACGTTGCTTCTATAGGCTAGATGGCGCAAGGTACTGCACGTTATAAAAGAATGTAGCCGTTAGCATCCATTCAATAATTAATCCATCGCTGCGGTGGCGCTGGGTGCCTTACACGGCGCATTCTTAGACCCTTCACTTCGCTTGAATCTGCTTTCTGCGCATGCTCAGTGCTCACACCTGGCATGGGCGAATGCGGATTTGTTTGTAAACAACGCGCTCACTGGGAACCCTGCACAGACATTGCTTGGTCGTGTTGGTAGTCGGATCTCAACAAGGTTATGGGAGAGAGCACCGGCAACGGAGCGCAGGCGCAGCTGTTGGTTCGACACCATAGTGCGCGCGACCATTGGCGTTGCGCCGCGCGGAATATGTGTGTGTGTGTTGGGGGGGGGGGGGGGGGGTGGGGGAGTGTCAAGCAGTCTTCTAGAACTCTTTTCTGTCTTCCCCACCTCTCTGCTGCAGTGCGTAGTAGGGTAGGCTTCGCGTATTAGTGATTTCGCACCTTTACCGAATTTGACGGAATGACCAAGCAAAGCGATTTTTTTGCTACTTGTGATGCCAAATATATTTTTTGTTCTGGGACTCGTCCAACGTGTGAACGAGCAGACGTGAACGCATACCCAAACTGATGCATCTTACGGAGTGCCTAGCTTTGCTCCGCATGTGCTGTCCTCACCCCTCTTTGTGTTTAGCTTCCATATTCTTTAATGTTTGTAGTCTTTTTTACAATCTACAAGCCTACGAGGCCCGAGGTCCAAGGAGCCATCGCTCGCCGAGGTCTAAACCCAGTCACCTGGGAAGCGGTCCTCACCTGGTAGCCTAGCCTGTCCAGACGTAGTGCCAGCGAGTGCCCGAAGCCGGTGTCGCAGCCAGTGATGAGCACGGCCTTGCCCGACGCCGAGACGACGCCGTTGGGGAGGAGCCGGTGCAGGCAGCGCCCCAGGGCGAGAAAACAGAGCACGCTCATGCCCACCACGGCGGACGCGTACCACAGGGGCGTCCACATCACGGGCAGCAGCCGCAGGGCGAGGAAGGCCACCACGGGGGCCAAGAGGTAGGCCGTGACCTCGCGGAACATGGCCTCCTGTCGTGGGAAAAGGTTTGCCGCTTTAACGGGGCATGCGGTCTGGCATGGGTTCTCGCTTTGCGAGTTTCGCTGACGTCATGGAGACGCTTTTGTTCGGCCAAATTTGATAGATGGCGCAAGCCGCCGCTCGATTGAAGGACCTCTACTTCATTCATTCACTCATGCAGCGCTTTTTTCGGCTGCCAACTCGGCAAGTGAAAATGCCGGCGAGGCGATCAGTTCCAGGTCCCAGACTGTTGAGAGTTGAGACAGGTCTGCAGTGTGCAGCCTAGAGCCACTAAATACCTTCAGAGTAGCGACACTTGGCAATTTTGGTGCTTCAAATCATGGTTGCCACTATCATTACCTGACACTATCTGAAATGGAAAGCAACGCTTTTCTGTTTCATGAGGAGACTCCATGCGTCACACACATACATAAAATTTCTACTGATAACACGAATCTGAGCAATCGCCCGAATCATCTCTGCGGCAGTGAGATCACCGCTTTAATCAGTGTTTCACAATGGTACGGCCGTCCGGGACGCGTATTGTTTTGCTCACGTAGTAAAACCACGAGGAAGGCGAATCAGGGGCACCTAATTGGCCTTTTCTTAAGCATCACAAATGCGTGCCCGCCGACAACTAGACACACGTGGCGGCGGCTTAATTTCGTGGCTCCACACGTTGCACTGGTTTACTAAAAAAACCTTTTGGAAACTAAAGCCTGCGTGCTTCCTTTTATGACGTCAGCTACGCCACAGCACCTGGGCCAAGCCTCGAGAGCCAACAGAGAGTCTTCACCACCGAGCACCTACAACCATACTGACGACGAGATTGCCCGGACACAGAATTTTGTTTTTTTTGCTTTTGATTTTTTTGTGCGTTGTCATCTTCGTTGTGTTTGTTCGAAGCGGCGAAGATGGAAGTGTGTTGTAAGCCGAAAAAAAATTACAAAAAATGCGAGGAAAGAAAGATTACGTGGCCTGACGAGGCAACATTTTCAGACCCCAGACGACCAGCAGGCAAGGAAAACCGAGACAGTGAATCGTCGACGTAGAAGGTCCGCTGGATATGAGGAGACGAGACACAAGATTCGCTTTCCACTTTGTCCCTTCTCGACAAAATAGTTTACAGCTAATTTGGGGGCCAATACCTTATAACCGCTGTGTGCCTGCAGGGGTTCGGAGAAATTGTGCCGAGGAACCAAGGGTTCACATTTTCTACCCAACGGACGAGCAATGATGCGACCTATGGATTAAGGAAAAATCACAGGAAGTCTTTTAAGTTACGAGCTCTTCGAAGGTATGTCAAGCGCTTTCGCAGCTTTCTTTTATCGCTGCACTTGCATAGTGATACTGCGTCCCGCAAGATTATGCAGTGCAAAACGACTCCACTTTTAGAGCGCAGCTCTTAGGCGCCCGTTTCCGGGTTTAGCGGTGTCGACGTCGGCGTAACCGCGCTCGTTGCGTTATGGCCCGTCTCAGTCTCCCTGCTAAATTTAGCGGGGAAATTAAATCGGTATTGAGGTCACATGACGTCAATTTCCCCGATGAATTTGGCGGGAAAACTTAACCGGCTAAGTTTATCGGGGAAATTTCCCGCTAAATGGGAGGGGAAGCTGAGGGAAGGGTACGGAGGTGCATACCCTCCACTCCGTACCCTCCTCTCATTCTCCTCAAGAGCTGCGCTCTAATTTAGCATTACAGAGAATTGTAAACTATTTTCAATCCTGCTCTGCGGCTTCCGAACAGTTTTTAAACGTTTTGTACGTTTCAGCATGCGAGTTAACAGGGCACCAGCAGTGAGAATTCTTTATTTTTTTTACTTTTTAATTTTTGATATTTATTTTTAAATAATTCCTAAATTTTATTGGGTTTTAATTTTTTGTAATCTGCATTTGAGGTCGTCGTCTCTTTCCTAGGGCATTGAAAAAGAGGAGGTGGGTCTTTTTGCATAGAAGAAGACAATACAAATACAAAAGTTGTGAGTCAGCGCCGAGTGAGTGTATATATATATATATATTTTGTGTGTGTCTGAGTTTGCGAGTGTTTCTCAGTTGTGCGCTGTTACGTTATTCGGCTCAGAATACTGTCCTCTCTGTCCACCTTGTCTAAAGAAATTTAATTTTCTAGGTTTGTCAGTATTTACCGAAAACACGGAACTCTCAATATGCGGACCCTTCGTGGTGGTTAGCTTGAAAACCGCTAGGTGGAGCGCTACATCGTCGAAAATAGTGACTAAGGGGTGCAAGCCGCTGCCCGACTAAAAGTTCTCATGCCGTATGCTTCCATTTGTCCATCAAACCATCCATCTCATACAAAGCTGCCGGATATCTGTACAGTGTATGAAGTCACTACACTAAAAGGTTCGAATTCGCGCTGTACAGCAAATTAGGCACCGCTTCGCAAATGCAGACCGGATAGGTTCGTTAGATTGTCATTTCAAAAGAATGACCACAAGGGGAGGGCGGTGAAGAACGTAAGGGTTATAAAATGTGTGTATGGTTCTTTTTACCAAGCATTGAGTGATAGAAGCACGTGACCTTGACGACTTATTTGAGTGATTGTTGTAGAATGCGGTTCATAAGGAGAAGAAAAAGGAGCACGGATCAACACGTTCTCCCACTCTGCGTGCGGCCAACCACTTTAAGAGGCTGCAGTGTGTCGACTTCTACGTGCTTCTGGCGTGCGTGGGCACTGTGCTGCTTTGCGCACCGCAGCTCGAAGCATGTGGAGGGAAAGCTCGTTCTGCAGAACCCAGCGATCCTGAGTTCAATCCCCACCCTTGCCCGTCTCGATCTGGGGCTCCGGACACTTGGCGAGAAAGTCGGCAAAGAATACGTCGTCCCTGATTTGGCCGGCGCCGCGCCTGACCTTGGCGCTATGTTAATCACGGCGCTCGAAGATGCCGAGTCACCGAGCTATGGACTCATGCGCGGAGTTTGATATTCCGCACAAGAGAGCTGTACTGAACACGCCGAGAACGGGTTCCACAGCCCATTAAACAAAGATGACAGCGCGAAGGGGATTAGTCCGGGTCTCTCGACAAATTAATTCGCAGACTCCGTCCGGCGAAATGTCCCATTTACGAAGACGTTTCTCTTCGATATGTCTCGAGCAGCGTCGCCGGAATGCACCTGCGGTCTCTCGGTAAAAGTTGTGGAACATTTTTTTTTTTTTATGTTAACTCCAGCGCTTGGAGCTGCGGCTTCGAATAATCGATAATCGATCGTTCGCAATTTCAAAACTGCTGGGACCACGACCGTTTCCGGCAATCCGAAAGGGAACACACTGCACGCGCTTCGGGACTTCCGCATCGCACAAAAATATTGATTGTGTTCGACCAGAACTGTTTGGATAATAAATAACTCTAGAGGGGTGTGTATAACTGACTGTGTGTGTGATAACCATGGGGACGTATATTATCTGCATGGTATTAGAATGAGTTACCGCGTTTAATTTCGTGTTGAACTTGCTTATATACAGCACTTTTTTCTATTTTTATTACCAATTTATCGTTTTGATATAACACGGTGTAAAGTAGCAGGCACTGGGGCGGCAGCACAGATATCTCAATCGATTTTTACATATTAGATAAGGAAAGAAAGAGGCTTCGCTTCCCGAAATATACTTATTCTGCGTTGTGAAACGACCACCTTTATTTCAGGGGAAAATAAATTTTACTCCGAATGACGGATAATTTTACTTATCTTTATGCTTGCGTTTTCAGTAAAATATCAATATCAGTTACTTCAGCATATCCAAGCCCCAATTTCGGCCAGAAAAACTTCCTTATGTGTGGACGCAGTTACAACGAATCACTGACAGGAGTCAAACTTCAATTGCCGCGTCATGCCAAGAAAATACAATATTTTCTCTTTTTATTTTTTATCAACCGCGCTCATACCTTGCTTCTGAAACTTGGAGGACGCTTAAGCTTCGCCTTTAAGGGTGGAACGCGATAGCGTTATCGGGCCCCGTTTGCAAAGCCTTCTCACACAAACCCGCGCGCGTTCCCAAGACGTGACAACTTGTGTCCGTGGCGTAGCCGGTAACGTCACGTGTCACGTTGCGTCACACGTGGCTGTGACGTCATGAACCTATCGACCCGCTAAATTTGGCGGGAAATTTTTCTGCTAAGTTTGGCGAGAAAAGTTTCCGCCGAATTCGGAATTTTTCCGCCAAATTTAGCGGGTCGAAAGGGTCATGACGTTACAGCCACGTGTGACGTCATACGTGACGTCACACGTGGCTGCGCGCGTTGCAATATGGGATTTTAAGGTCCCACCGACGCCGAAGGTTTGCTACACGAGCTCCCAAACGCCATCGCGTTAATAAAACATTAAAAAAAATGTTTTTTGAGGAAGCCGTTTTAGAGTTACTAGGCATTCGAAAGGTTCGTTAATTGAAATGTATGTATGCATATATCATATAAAAATTGTAATCACTAAAAGAACTCAGCTTGAGCTTTTTGCTGATTAAAATATCTTGGATACATCACACGTAAGAAGTTGCCAAGCTTTGCCAAAAATCACGAAATAAAGTTTTTGATAATGAGCGTGAACTTACGGAAACAGACGTAGAAAAGACGGGGTAAGACAAAACGGCTGTCTAAGAACAATTTGCTTTAATACAGAATTTCGCATATGTAATCCTATTCTCTTTCTCCGTCTGCTTCTCTAAGTTCAAGCTGACCCATCACCAATGTCTAGCAAATAGCTCAACTAAAGCCTATAGCAAAAAACAAAAAAAGATTTATATTTCTTTAAAATATTTTACAAAATATAAAAAAAATTTAAAATTAATTAGTACGGCATAATTAAACTTATTTCGAGAGTGTCACAAAAGAGGTCTAGTGCCTCTTTTGTGACACTCTCGAGCGGTCAAACATGCAATGCCTGACAGGAGGTAGAATCGTTCGTTTTCGCTTCGGCCGCTTCAGTAATAAAAAAAAAAAAAAATATTGTTAAGCTTGTTGTTTGCACTTTCTTTCAAGAATTATATATATATATAGTGAACGAAGAGAGGTAGAAGGTGAAATATCAATACCTTCTCCCCTCTTCGTTCACAATATTACTACGGCTGCACTTGTCAATCTTCACCCATTCCCATTATATATATATATATATAAATTTTTACAAAAAGTATTACAATTTTTAGACCGTGCCTGAATTGAAATGAAGGCACCCTTAAGACTTGGAAACGCGAAATCGAATTCAGTGTACAGGCTTCTTCCCGTTAATTTTTTTTTTTGTTGTTGTTTCGATTACGAAAAAAGGTTTGAGTTCGCTCCAAACTCACTCGAACGAAGAATCTGTACACAG